CACCCTTCCTCTGTCACTCAAACAAGCACGGAGGTGGCAGGATGTGTCACAATTTCAGACATGTCCTGCAGAGTCTCTGTGTGCAGATGTTTTCATAGGCAGTAAGTGAAGAGAAACGATTTGCTAGAAAAACAGACAGGGGCCTACAGAGACGTTTGCACTGCTGTAAGACTTCACAGCTTCATAGTTTTCGGAAACAGCAGGTTATTTTAGTGCGATTGTCCTCGGAGACCCAGATGACGGTAAACAGGAGAGAAACGTACTCTACGCAAGTGTGCGAATGCTTGGCCGGCACATTGCATATTTACTTCATTACTAAACGGGGTGGAAGCTAGACGGACAGCATGAATGAAAGGGCCAGATTGCCCTGTTTACATCCTAGCGTTGTCTTGCACGTGTGCCATCTTGGTTCTTTTAATTCAAGTCTTTCTCTACTCTTCCCTGAGATGCCCAGTGGCTAATGACATTGCGTTCCAAAAACCGACGTCTGTCCGAGTATGATGTCGTAACAGCAGGCCATGCGTCTCGGTGTGTCATTTTAATGCATTTTCACATCCTCCGGGGACACGTTCTTGTGATCCATCGCTGCTATTTTGTGTGTAGGGTTGCAAAAGGGGCGGACAATTTCTGGAAACTTTCCAAAAGTTTCCGAAAAATCCCCGAAAGTTTCCAACATTTCTGGAAAGTTTCTGAAATTTTCCAACCCTTTGCATGCATCAAGTAGGCGTCTTTGGCCATTGCATCACCAAACATTGTATATTTATAGGAAGGTGTCAAGTTAAAACATTTTGCATCCTGTGTGCATGCCCCCATACGGTGCAAAGGCTTTATATGATTCATGGGGCTCTAGAATGAAGCCATGGACTGGGGGTCTGGTGTCTTTGGGAACATGGTCTCAGGTAAGAGCGTTTTCAAACGTCCCTTTTTCCAGACCCTCCAGTCCGTCGCCCCAGCTGGATGATGGCATGCTACTGTAAGGGTCCAGCAGGATCCGGAAACACCTGACGATCAACAGCCCGAGAAACACCAGCAACATCCCAACGAACGCAAACGCCGTCTTCTGCTCCAGACTCAGAGAATAGGCCATGAAGTCACTCCTGCTCATGGCCGTCAGGCTGTGGTTATAGTGAACACTACACATGTTCCCAGACGAGCCCCGTCATCCTGCATGCGTCGGTAGGTTGGCGATCAGCACGGATAGAGATGGACGCCTGTGAAGGTAGGAGATGCTCAGAATTAATTTATGGAATCAATCAGACAACAAGCGCTTCATTAAATTATTAGCATGCACAAGAGAATATTGGGACAGGCATGTTCCACGCAGGAATATTTTGAATCGATGTACACTCTGTGGAGCATGCAAACTTGCCTTTAATTGGTGATGTGCATGAAAATATGGCCAGTGTTATGCAACACACAGGATAGGTGCCAAAGCAGGCTTCCAGGCGAATGAATGCATGTGAATCACGGAGGGACTCTTCTGATGTTTTGTTTGCATTTCTAAGGGTAACATAATGAGGACTATTACGGAAAAGTTCTAATAGACAGCCTAGTCATTAATGCAAAAGCACTCGCTCATACCTTAAGCAAACAGATGGGATGAAAGCCATGAAGCCTTGCCTGTGCATGCAGCCCGTGACTCTCTCGTGCTCTGTTAGAAACCAACAGCATCGCAGGTGGTAAGATTTCTCAGCAGTAGAACGATAAAGCAAGGAAAACAACTCCCTCAGAATGCAGTGCAGCAAACATTTGTACTTGAGAGTCAGAGGTCACAGCACATAGGCGACATCTTTAATCGGAGCGCGTGCAGCAGACGACACCAGGACCTGTTGCTTTCCAGCTGCGACTCGAGCGGTGATGCTCACAGTCGCGTGTTATTCGCATGCAGCAGGAACGTGTTTGAGAGAGGCAGGGGGAGGTGGATGAGCAGCAGGTGGCTGAAGAACGACATGCATCTGAGCTGAAATCCCAATGCATCTCACCTTCATTTCGGCCTCATTCTGTCAGAGCTGTTGTAGGCGGCTGCTGCAGAAGAGCGTGTCGAGCCCTGCACACAGCCAGCAGGGGTTCCACAAGCTCGGCTTGACTGCTGCTGAAAAAAGAGTCAGAAACCTGTGACTGGAATACTCTTGCATCCCTCCTGCCTGCTCTGTCTCTCTCTCTCTCTCTCTCTCCACTTGTTCATCTCAGCTGGTTTGACTCTAAAATGCAGATTTTTTTTTCTTTTAGCTAGGCTGGTGCATGTAACTCAATTAGACCTTGTGCTTATATTAAAGCATCATTAAATGCTCCAGCATAACTGATGCGGCTCAGCGTGCTTTTAACCCAACATGCCGCCAATTCAGTATCACAAAACAAGATTACAATGAACATGTGAGTGCAGCACAAGAGTGGTTACCAGGGCAACGCTAGGTGGTTGCTAGGGTGGTGTGCAGTGGGTAGTAACTGTGTAACATGTCATCTGGATTGCAATTAAGCATATATATTAAGATAATAATCAGATTACAGTTACTTTTTATACATTACATAATATTTACATAATGGCAGTACAATTTGATTTGGCCTAATTCTTTTTCTCTCTCTGTCTCTTAAATGTTTATTTCTAAAATTCTACTGCTTTTATACATCTGTATTTTTTTTTTTATCTGGTACAATTTATTGGCATCATAAAATCTAAATTTATAGTTTATTGCACAGTATTACCATAATTACCCACCGACTTTTAAAATAATATCTGTTTCAATATTCCAATTAATCTTACTCAAAAACTGTGTAATTCAATCATTGAAATCAACATATTGCGCAACTGCTATACTACAAGTGAAAAGATTAAGAGCGTTTTGTAATATGAAGCAATCAGAAATACCATTCTCATTACCATAATGCAAAAAAACTTCCTTAATCAAATTTCTATTGCCGAAAAATGGCCTTTACACGTACACAAAAACAAAAATATTACAAATATTAAACAAGTAAATTGTTTTTATTGTCTTGGAGGTGCTGGAGGTATAATATTGTCCAGATAAGTATAATATTTCAGCAAAAATGCGCTGAAAATGGCTCGTTATGAAAATCAATCACGCCTCTGAAGTCTCGCGTGTTCTCGCGATAGCTGCGTGAAGTTGGCTTGTCAACCGCCATAAAATCGTACAAGAAGAAGATAGCTGCGTGAGGGAGGCGGTTGGTGACAGCTGGATTGTGATTGGAGCGCTGATGGTAGGAAGTAGCGTAGATTCCGGAAGTGATCCAGAAATGGAGGATGATGTGGGAGATGTGGACAGTGGAGGCGGCGAATGGAGAGTAGTAGATAATCGGAAAAGAAAGAAAAGTTGGGGACAAATCTCAGAAACGGATAGTGAAAAAGGAAATCACCAGGCAAGACGAAGGAAAGAGGAGTATAAGGTATTGATTAAGTTTACTGAGTCTGTAAATGCTATTAATCCTTTAAAACTAACAAAAACTCTAAAAGAAACAATAGGGACGGTTGAAAGCATTAAGACATTGAGGGATGGCAAGCTGATGTTGTTTTGTAAAGACAGTAGGCAGCAAAAAACGGCTCTAGGAATAAAATCGATAATTGGAAATAAAGTTGAATGTTCCATACCAGAAGAAAAGAATTGGGTCAGAGGTGTTATAACGGGGATTCCAACGGATGTTGCAGATGAGAAGATTAAAAGTAATATAACTGGAGCAGCAGTAAAGTTTGTCAGACGGCTCAAGTGCGTCAGGAATAATGAAAAGACAGACAGCCTATCAGTAATGTTAAACTTTGATGAAAATAGACTGCCTGAGAGAGTTTATTTGGGATTTGTAAGCTATACGGTTAGACCATACGTTCCCCCGCCGCTAAGATGTTACAAGTGTCAAAAATTCGGTCATGTTGCGGCAGTATGCAGAGGCAAACAGAGATGCGCGCGGTGTGGAGGTGATCATGAGTATGGCAAGTGTGGACAAGGTGTAAATCCTAAGTGCTGCAACTGTGGAGGAGATCACAGTGCAGGTTACGGAGGGTGTCATGTACGGAAAAATGCGGTGAAGGTTCAAAACGTTAGAATGGCGGAAGGAATAACATATGCTGGTGGGAGGCGGTTGGTGACAGCTGGATTGTGATTGGAGCGCTGATGGTAGGAAGTAGCGTAGATTCCGGAAGTGATCCGGAAATGGAGGATGATGTGGGAGATGTGGATAGTGGAGGCGGCGAATGGAGAGTAGTAGAAAATCGGAAAAGAAAGAAAAGTTGGGGACAAATTTCAGAAACGGATAGTGAAAAAGGAAATCACCAGGTAAGACGAAGGAAAGAGGAGTATAAGGTATTGATTAAGTTTACTGAGTCTGTAAATGCTATTAATCCTTTAAAACTAACAAAAACTCTAAAAGAAACAATAGGGACGGTTGAAAGCATTAAGACATTGAGGGATGGCAAGCTGATGTTGTTTTGTAAAGACAGTAGGCAGCAAAAAACGGCTCTAGGAATAAAATCGATAATTGGAAATAAAGTTGAATGTTCCATACCAGAAGAAAAGAATTGGGTCAGAGGTGTTATAACGGGGATTCCAACGGATGTTGCAGATGAAGATTAAAACCACACCACACTCATCGGCCTCATTCAGACGGTGATGAGTCTGCTTACAGACAGGAGGTCGAGATGTACTTATAAAATGTGAGGCTTATGAAAGAGAACGTTTCCAACTAAGTCAAGCTTTAAGGTATCTGGAAATAAATGATCTGTCACTCCAGGTTTTGTTAGGCGATGGATCTAAGCAATCAGGAATATATCGCGAATTAGTTATTTATTTAAAGGAAACAGGATTGATTAATAGGATTTAGGATACAGGTCTTGGTTAAAAGTTGTTTTTTTTTGGTAAGATAGCTCTTGTTTCTAAAGTTCTTATTCATTGTGCGCTTCACACTCCTTTCCAGTAGGTGGCGGGAATGCACCTTTTAAGTTGGTTTGCCAACCGCCATTAAATCCTAAAAGAAGAAGAAGATCGCTGCGTGAGAGGAGCAGCAGTGATGGCGGACGCGGAGCCGACGCTGGACCTGACTGACACCAAACATGAGGAATCAGGCGATTCTCCCGCTGACGAAGGAGAAGCGGAGCCCCAGCAGACGCAGGAGAACACCAACGGCGTTAAAACGTAACTGAGAGCTCTTTAAAACTCAAATCTCGCATGTGTTGCGTCTGTTATGCGCGTATTGCTAGCGAGGCCTGTGCGCGAGCGCAGCGCTTTCACAGAGCGAAAGAAACGCGTTTATTTTTCTTCATATCAGCTTGTGTTCATAATGCAGGTGTCTGAAGACATTTCGTCTAGTTAGCGCGTGTTTTTCTGTCGTTTGTTTGTTTTGTGGCGCTGCGCTCCAATCAGAGCGGTAACCCGTAGCAACCGCCATTGATCAACAGAGCCCGCCCACTTTAGCAGCGGCCGGAAGTATTTCCCCATTTAGTTTTCGTTAAAGATCGATAAACCATGAACCAAACCGACCAGACGGATCACATCTTTACTAACTTTGCTTCGAAGCAAAAAAAAGTATTTAAAAATGGGACAAAGACACATTCGCAGTGCTTCATATGAGTGGGCGGAGCTAAAGAGCTCGGTTTGAGGTTTTGATTGGTGGAGAGATCTCTGCTGAATCATGGGTAGTGTAGTTTCTCAACTGCAATTCTGCTCTTAAGCTTGATTATTTAAAAACAAGTTGAAATAACAGTTTCAACAACTATCGATTAATAATCTCGAAGCTCACAGTAGGTCTGTTTTTAACGGTTATTATTATTATTAAAAAAATGTCCCCCATAAAGAAAATGAATGGGTTTTCATTATTATTTCCGGAACCTGACTGTTGAAATTTATATATATATAAATTAATTTCTCTCTCTCTCTCTCTCTCTCTCTCTCTCTCTCGCTCTCTCTCTCTCTCTCTCTCTCTCTCTCTCTCTCAACAACAAGATCCAGTTTCATTTGCCCTGAGTTCATTTGCTTTCATCACTGAAATGCTCCAAACAGCTCGTTAAAGTAGAGTCGTGAGCATGTGCTGTAATCGATCTCTCTGAGGCACTAATGATCAATCAGTCAGCTGTTTCTCTTTGAGCTGATGTGTTGCTGATGATGTTCTTTCTTGTCGTTCTCTCTCTCTCCTCCTCCTCGTTCTTCGTGGACTCGCTTCTGCAGGGCTGCGGGTAAGAAACGTTTATATAGAAAAAAGCACGTTTTAATTGATGCATTAATTTGCCAGACACTTGCATCGACGATTCAAGTCGAAATTATTTGTTTTCCCAAACATTTAAAAATGCAGTTGGCTGCAAAATAAAGGGACTTAATTGCTTTATAAGCAGTCTTATTAATTATTATTATTATTTTTTTTTTTTTCAAGCATTCAACTTAAAAGTATTATTCATTTAGTATAAAGGAATCACTCTTTCAGTGCTTTGGAAAACATATGATGGTCATAAAATAATAATATTTAAATAAAGTAAATATGAATATTTAATGCATTGGATTGTTGATTGTCACAAATGTATGCAAGTAGAAATTTGTGTCATTTATATTTTCCCAAACATTTAAAAAGGTAATCAAATGTGAAATAAATGTACATAAATTGTTTTATTACTAGCAAGAAATAATTTATATAATAATTATTATTATTACATTTTTTCAGAGCATTTAAAAACGTAAGCAGCTATTTTAAATGTTTATTTAAATTAATAGTTAAATAAATATGAATAAGTTAAAACAATGCAATGTTGCCCGCAAGTATTTCTTCAAGTATATTGATATTTTTTTACAAGCATTTAAAAAGGTAATCTACTGTGAAATAAAGCTACTTAAATTGTTTTATAAGCAGTAAGAAACTATTGTTGTTATTTATATTTTTCCAAGCATTGAAAAAAAGCAATTAGCAATTTTAAATATTTATTTATATTAAATAAATATATTTTATTTTAAGTAAATATGAATAAATGTTGCTGCAAGTAATAAGTATTATTATTGTTTATATTTTTCCAAGCATTGAAAACAAGCAATTGGCAATTTTAAATATTTATTTATATTAAATATATTTTATTTAAAATAAATATGAATAAATGTTGCTGCAAGTAATGGGTATTATTATTGCTATTTATATTTTTCCAAACATTTAAAAAGTAATCATCTGTGAAATAAAGGTAGTTAAATTGTTTTATAAGCAGTAGGAAATTATTCAGATTTTTTCAAGAATTAAAAAAGTAATCAGCTTAATTAAATTTAAATAAACTAATATTTTAAACCCTAAGTAAATATAAATTAATTAAAACAATTAAATGTTTTTCTTTGTGTATCTGAGAGCAGCGTCAAGTGTTCAAGAAGAAGTGATTATTATTAATATTGTTTATATTTTTCCAAGCATTAAACAAGTAATCAACTAAATTAAAGCTGCTTGAATAGTTTTCTATTAGAAGCAGTACAGATTTAATTGATATAACTGCGGCTCTTCTCTTTCAGCGTGGTTGAGTTCAAAGATGAAGAGTTTGTGAAGAAAGCCATCGAGGTCATGAGCAAACATGATCTGAACGGACGGCCGCTGAACATTAAGGAGGTAAGCGCGTCATTCTGTCTGGCGTGTGTTTGTGCAGACGGTTCCTGACACGTGTGTGTTTCAGGATCCGGACGGTGAGCATGCGCGGCGTGTCCTGCAGAGATCGGGCCGGATGTACGGAGCGGGCCGAGGGCAAGACATCCCTCCCTCCATCGCCAACAACCCCAACATCCCTCCGGAGATCATCAGCGCGCTGCAGGCCGGACGGCTCGGCACCACCGTGTTCGTCGCCAACGTGAGTAGTGGTCGATATTTTATCAAATATCGGCATCGGCCGATAAGTTTTCCTGTTTGGCCAATGTTTTCGAGGTGGGACTTTTATTTTGATGGCGCGACTGACTTTTATTTTGACGGCCCGACTGACCTTTATTTTGACGGCCCGACTGACTTTTATTTTGATGGGGTGACTGACTTTTATTTTGACGGCGCGACTGATTTTTATTTTGACGGCGCGACTGACTTTTATTTTGACGGGGCGACTGACTTTTATTTTGACGGAACGACTGATTTTTATTTTGACGGCGCGATTGATGGTGAATGACTTTTATTTTGATGGCCCGACTGACTTTTATTTATTTTTTTTGATGGCACGACTGACTTTTATTTTGATGGCACGACTGACTTTTATTTTGATGGCGCGACTGGCTTTCTGTCTAATAATCAGATAGAACGGTTAAACAAAGGAATTAACATGTATACAAAAAGTATTATAATGATTGCTTTATTCTATATTATTAGTAATAGAAAGGCAAACATTATAATACTTTCTTGTTTGCCGTCAGCATTCAGCAAATATGCATTTATATCATTTAAACAAATCTTTGAATGACTAATGAGCATTTAACTTCACAAACGTTGCAAACTTAGTCGGATCCAGCTGTGAGATCTTGTGAAGTGTGCATGTGACCTGCTTGATCGCGTGTTCTCTGCGTGACGGTCGAGAGTTCAGCTTCACTGGAGACACGCGATCGACAAACTTTAAACTTGTGATTTCAAATTATGCTGCGCTTTATGTATTTGCCCTCTGCCATATTCATGTAATTTCCACTGTGTGTTTTTTTTTATTATCCATTTTCAAATTATTTCAAATTTCTTAAATATCAGTTCAAATAAATACAATTATATCGGCTTTATACCCTGCTTTCCAAGAGATCGGTCGACCACTAAACGTGAGTCTGAACTGGGTTCTGCCGGTCTCTAAAAAGGCCTTACAAAGTCTTCATTCACTCTTCTACAAATTCAGGCCTAAAAAGATCTTAAATCGGAGCAGAAAGTCTTAAATCCACAAAGTCGTGCCATTAAATGTTGCATGAACTGCAAAAAATGAATCTCTTCCTCAGTATTTCTGTTGACCCTTAAATCAAGACACATTTCCTGGAATGAAAATGAAGCGAGTTTATGATTAAAACAATAAAAACAAGTCAACGAGTCATAAACTCATTTCCCTTTGAATTAAGTTGATCTTTCGGAGCCCATTTTTCTGATGTTTGTTCATGTTTTAATCATAAACTCACTTCCTTTTGATCAGTTTCTCAGAAAACAAGACTTCATATTTAATGTCATTAAGCTTCTGTAGTAAATGTAGGGCCCTATTATTTCTGTGATGCGGACGGAATCCAGTCATAAAAACTGAATTTACTGTATAACGCGGAGCGTCACGGAATTTGTCAAAGTTTGGATGAATAAATCAAAAGTACTAGGTCATTACACTAAATATGGATTAGTATCTGTAAATATTAAGCTGCAAAAAGACTTTAAATATGAATCCTGCACGCGCTGAAGCGCATTTGAGTAAAACTATTGTCATATATACACACAGAAGTGTAAAGGTATTCACGGCAACCCGCCAAAATAAAAGTTCGGTCAGAAATATATGACCTGTGCTGGCAAAATGAGTCACAATGAGCAATTTTTAAAAACTGAGTTATTTTTATGTTCACATTCTCCATTAAAAGACCTTCAGAATGATGTATGATTCGTTGGAATCGGACGAAATTGAGAAAAATAGAGTTAAAAGTTTTCTGAAGGTTCCAAAACAAAATCACCTGCGATGTTGCATCTTTTCCTCCAGTTCTTTTCTTAATAATAATTACTATATTAATAATCACAATATAGCTATTTTTTATTTTATCTTTGTTATTATAAACAAATATAAGAAAAAACAAATAATGCATTAGCTTTTTCATTTTACATCTAAACAAAAGCATTCAAGTAAGAAAAACAAATAATCAAATGTAAAAATCACTTTAGTGTGTTCATTACAAATAAATTGATTTATTAAAACTGCAAAAACAGTTCAATCAAGAGCAGCGAGTGAGTCCCTATTTTCTTTTATTGTTAGATTAACATTGAGACAGACGGCCGATATATTAAGAGCTACTGTAACACACGGATCTGATATGATGTTACACATCTGATGTTTTTCCCCAAACGTTCACTTAAGACAGAACCGATTATGTTTGCATGAATACTTAAATACTGTAAGCTTTTTGATTAATAAAATATTACAAATGTAATTTAACCATTAAAAAAGGAGTCCAGAAAAATTAAAACGGAATTCGGGAAAAAGGATTACATAGGGCCCTATAAATGGATCTGGATTTATGAATCTTTAGACATATGTGTCCCTGCAGCACAAAAGCAGTGTTAAGTCGCTGGGGTATATTTGTAGCAATAGCCAACAATACATTGTATGGGTCACAATTATTGATTTTTTTTTTATGCCAAAAATCATTAGGATATTAAGTAAAGATCATGTTCCATGAAGATATTTTGTAAATGTCCTACCGTAAATATATCAAAACTTAATTTTTGATTAGTAATATGCATTGCTAAGAACTTCATTTGGACAACTTTAAAGATGATTTTCTCAATATTTAGATTTTTTTGCACCCTCAGATTCCAGATTTTCAAATATTGTCCGATCCTAACAAACCATACATCAATGGAAATATTATTTATTCAGCTTTCAGCTGATGCATAAATCTCAATTTCAGAAAATTGACCCTTATGACTGGTTTTGTGCTCCAGGGTCACAAATGTTGTTTTGGTCTCTGTTGGCTGCAGCTGGACTTTAAGGTGGGCTGGAAGAAGCTGAAGGAGGTGTTCAGTATGGCGGGGATGGTGAGGAGGGCCGACGTTAAAGAAGACCAAGACGGGAAGAGCCGAGGCATGGGGACCGTCACCTTCGAGCAGCCGCTGGAGGCCGTACAAGCCATCTGTATCCTCTGCGCTCTGAAACCAGTGTATGAGGAAAGTTATCTGATTTAAAGAGTTTTAATGAATGCATATCACCATACTTTCCCCTGCTGATTATTTACAGTTGTTTTTGAGACTAAAGTTTTCTGAAATGTTAAGTATAAATGTGAGAATGCAAATGAGACATTATTTAATTAACTATGCACTCATTTCCAGAACATTAATCTGAGCATTGGATAAAAACACTTGTTTGATTTTGTTGCCATATTAGAGTTATCACTCCAGAATTCAGAACATACTGTCAACAGACCGAAAAAACTATCAAAATTTGCACCACGTTTTTAGAAATAAAATGTTGTATAAATCCGTGTCAGTAAAAGCCTTCGGAATATAGAGAGGAATAAAGCGGTCTCCACTTCAGCAGCACTTGCATACGCCAAAACCTAAAGGTATTAATTAGTTAAAAATCTGCAGATGCAAATAGGTCTCCACTTCAGCAGCACTTGCATACGCCAAAACCTAAAGGTATGAATTAGTTAAAAATCTGCAGATGCAAATAGATAATAAAGCAATAAGCCCCGTGAAGCCGTGGTTTACAGTGAATTTATAACAGCTAAGGGGCGTTGTTAGCTTATGTTAGGTAAATTCACTGTAAACCACGGCTTCACGGGGCTTATTGCTTTTATAAAACGGTTATTATACATAGTAAGGTTTCACAAAATAAAACACAGCAAATAAAGTGTAATGATATTAATAAAAACAGTATTCTTCCACCAAACAATGTAGCTCCTCAGAAACAGTTGTGGTTGCTACAAAGTGGTTGCCGAGCAACACACAAACGTAAACAAAGGTGTATGTTACTTTGTAGAGTAATTTACAACAGCTTCGAACGCGGCTCAGCCAATCAGAATCAAGCACCGGAACTATCCACTTTATAAAGTGCAATAAAATAAACACTTAAATGTGTATTTTAGATGTTTTCTTTCCACTAGTCTGAAAGTGGATGTGTTATGGAAGCAAAATAGCACAAAGCAGCAAGTACCTCACCTTAAAAATGGAACTATTTTATCCAATTTGTGTGCTGTGGATTTGCATTCTAGTGTAGTTGCGAGTTTGTGGTTGTAAATGGGTCACTTGTTAGTGTGTACTGCAGTTAGGGTGCTTTGTCTTCCTTCACTCACGCTCACAGCCATGTTCAACGGTCAGATGCTGTTTGACAGACAGATGCACGTGAAAATGGTGAGCTGCTCCAGCGTTCGTTCTCGTGCATCTTTATGTGTGTTTCTGAAGCTCAGATTCATGCATCTGTTCGTCTGTTTACTGTAGGATGATAAATCGCTTCCTCCAGATGACTTCAGGCCTGCAGAGAAAGCGCCACAGTTACCCAGTAAGAGCCTTGTGCGCTCGTTTTGGGCTGTATATAGATGTGTGTAATTCTCTGTGTGAGTGTGTGTTTATGGTGTGTGCTGCAGGAGGTCTGGGAGGCGTCGGGATGGGTTTGGGTCCCGGCGGTCAGCCAATAAATGCCAACCGTCTCAGTGGAGGGGCCGTCGGCTCCATGGGACCCGGAGGTGTGTTCATGTTTGCATAATTATTCATGCAAATTTTACACTGCATGCTTTATTTTTAAAGCATGCATATTTGCATGAATAAAGCATTATTTATTTTGTAATGATGCAGATGAGGCATTGAATCAAGTGTTTTTAATTAATTGGGACAGTTCAAATTGATTCATTGCTTGATTCATCAACTCAAATGAATCAAACTGACTGTAGCAGGGTTTTTGCTGCTTAAGCTTTAATCAGATCATCTAATGCTGTTAAGAAGTGGTGATTATTAAAGTGATTTTTAATGATGATCAAATAAAAAGGTTAAAATCATGATGCTCACGATGTTTGCTCGTGTGCATTTATCACCAGTAAGATCACTGAATCTTGAGTGTATCGAACTCTTGCTGGGATTGATGAGTTAACGCAGGGTTGGTTGTTTCTCAGGGATGGATGGGCCGGGATGCAGCAACATGAACCACATGAGTGGTGAGAATCACTTTCATCTGGAGCAGATACATCCGAGATCATGTGAGGACGCTCATCTGTGTGTGTGTCTCTGTCTGTGTGTCTGTGTGTGCATGTCCGTGCGCGTGTGTGTGTGCATGTGTGTGTGCGTGTCTGTGTATGTGTGCGTGCATGCGTGCGTGTGTGTGTGTGTAGGGATGGGCGGAGGCTTCTCCGGGATGGACTGCATGGGTGGAATGGGAGGATTCAGAGGCAGAGACATGGGCCGAATGGGAGGTAAGGCATCATTCCATCAGTCTGACAGTCACTAATCTAATCACGGGTAATTCTATAGCATCATTCCTGTCAAATCAACCAAATTCCAGAAACCTCCCCAGCTCCAATTTTTGATTTTGTTCATATTTTTTCTGAAGAAAGACATGCATTAATAGTGATAAAAGCCAAAATATTAAATGTCGTGGATGAATATTTACTGAATAATCCACTGTTTTGTAGAGGAGAGGGTCAAAATGTCAATTTTCACCTGAGATTCGGAGCCAAATTACAGGGGCGTAAAAAAGACTTCAGAAAGATGGCAGCGTCATGTTGTTCTTACACTGAGATTAGTAAACAGTAAAATCTGTTGACTTTAGCAATCTTTGCTGCGGTATATGATAGTTCACAACAAACATTTCTTCTGCTATCTTCATTTTTAAGGCCAGATATGGCTCATTTCCAGAGATATTGGCATCTCGGTGTGAGTCCAGGAGTAAATGAATAAATTGTTCACATTTTCAGTGGTCAAAAACCAAATGTTCGGTCACTGCATTTAGCTGGAAGTTTTTTCTTTTAGAGAGAAATGTTTGAAGAACAAATAGTGCTGAAACTAAAAATATCTTTTGTTTCCCTCTATCAATTGCATAATCAAAACTATTGCATAAAACACCTGTCTGAGTGATAAAATTGCTCTTTTTCCAAAGTTTACGCAACTATAATTCAATAAGTATTAAAGGTATCTCAGTGTAATTGTAGATTCTAGTGGTCAACAAAAGTTTCTTTTGATATGTTCATTTCTAAGGCCGTATATGGCTCATTTCCAGAGATATGAGGACATCAGTGTGGCTTTATGGGTAAATTTTCAATGGTCAAAAACCAATGGACAAACATTTTTAGCCAGGTAGCTTTGGTTGAGTTGAGACAGAATGACTGTATAGTGCAGGAAAATAACAGAATCAATGATGTAAACGTAATCAGATATGAGAACGTCAGATTGTGCTGTAAAGCAGCTCTACTGAAGACTAATGCTCGTGTTTGTGCACAGATGTGTATCGCTCTGGAATGGCAGGAATGGACAGAGACTTCGGCAGAAGTGACATGGGAATGAATCGCCCCTTTGGAGACTCATTTGGAGGTCTGGGTGTGTTCTCTCTGTGTGTGTGTGTGTGTGTGTGTGTGTGAGAGAGAGATAGAGAGAGAGAGTGCATGTGCGTGTGTGTATGTGAGAGAGAGAGAGTGCATGTGCGTGTGTGTGTGTGAGAGAGAGTGCATGTGCGTGTGTATGTGTGTGAGAGAGAGAGTGCGTGAGAGTGCGTGAGTGCGCGTGTGTGTGCGTGCGCGAGTGAGTGTGCGTGCGCGAGTGTGTGTGTGTGAGAGAGAGAGAGTGCATGTGCGTGTGTGTGTGAGAGTGAGAGTGCGTGTGCGTGAGTGAGTGAGAGTGTGTGTGTGTGTGTGTGTGTGTGAGTGAGTGTGTGTGTGTGTGCGCGAGTGAGTGTGTGTGTGTGTGCGAGTGAGTGTGTGTGTGAGTGTGCGAGTGAGTGTGTGAGCGTGTGAGTGTGTGTGTGTGAGAGCTGATGCTGACTCTTCTGTTCTCTGTCCATCAGGTGGAGGATATGCAGGAATGGGGAATGCTGGGATGGGACCCATGGGCTCTGGATTAGGTCACACGCAAAATCACATTCATATGCTATTCATTCTGATTTGATGTAAACCCTTTTTAAGGGTTTCTGCGGGTCTTAATTCACTCTTCCATAAATTAAAGCAGAACGTTATAAAGTTGTTACATGGTCTGCTAAAAATCAATCTCTTCCTCAGTATTTCTGTCTCGTTTTCCAGCACAAATATCTTAACATCCTTAAGATACATTTACTTCATATACAAAATGAACAGATGAAGACTTGAACATTGAAATTGAACATAGTTTAAATCTTACAAAAATATGAAATCTTTTTTTCTAATACATTTATCAAAATGAAGTGACTTTAGGATAAAAAAGGACAAATATTGGCTCAGTCAAAACCTAATTCAAAGGAAAAACAGGATTTCTTATCTAATCTTGATTTATGAATAATTAAGCTTTTGTATGTTTGTGTAAAATGAATGAAAATGTAATGGAGATCTGTTGGAAGTTGTATTTTCAGTCTGTGAAGTGTTGCTAATACACAACATTTATCTTTAGAGATCATTCTGACGTATTGTGTTCCATTCAGTTTATTCCTGACATTTTACTTAGTCTTTAAAAAAAGTTTTGGTTACACTTTACTTGAAGGGGTGTGCATAAGACGTGTGTGTGTGTGTGTGTGTGTGTGTGTGTGTGTGTGTGTGTGTGTGTCTGAAGTGTGTTTGATGAGAATCGTCTGTGTGTGTGTCACTGAAGTGTGTTTGATGAGAATCGTCTGTGTGTGTGTGTGTGTGTGTGTGTGTGTGTGTGTGTGTCACTGAAGTGTGTTTGATGAGAATCGTGTGAGTGTGTGTGTGTGTCACTGAAGTGTGTTTGATGAGAATCGTGAGTGTGTGTGTGTATGAGAGAGAGAGAGAGAGAGAGAGAGTGTGTGTGTGTCTGTGTGTGTGTGACTGAAGTGTGTTTGATGAGAATCGTCTCTGTGTGTGTTTCTCCGCAGCTCTCGTACGATCTGACCTGGCAGAAGCTCAAGGAGAAGTTCAGTCACTGCGGTACGCGAGTCTCATTTCTACTACAGCAGCATTTGATTTAAAACATTACAAGCTTAAGAGTGAAGGTCTCTGTACTTCAGGTCAGGTGATGTACGCTGAAATAAAGATGGAGAACGGCAAATCCAAAGGCTGCGGGACGGTGCGCTTCGACTCTCCTGAGAGCGCAGAGAAAGCCTGCCACATGATGAACGGAACCAAGATCAATGGACGAGAGGTTGATGTTCGTATCGACCGCAACGCTTGAGACACACACTCTCACACTCACACACAGACACATACAGACACTCACACACACACTCACACACTCTCTCACACACTCTCTCACACTCACACACACACTCACACACACACAGAGACACACACACACACACTCTCTCAGACACACACACTCTCTCTTACACACACACCCTCTCACGCACACACTCTCTTACACACACACACACACACACATCTCTCACTCACACACAGAGACACACACACACACACTCTCTCAGACACACACACTCTCTCTTACACACACACCCTCTCACGCACACACTCTCTTACACACACACACACACACACATCTCTCACTCACACACAGAGACACACACACACACACTCTCTCAGACACACACACTCTCTCTTACACACACACCCTCTCACGCACACACTCTCTTACACACACACACACACACACACACACACACAGAGGCCAGCTTTTGTTTTGTTTTAAAAACATCATGACTGTCATATCAGCAATCTCACCAGCTTCAGCTCCACGTGTTAGAGACCACCTTTACTTTAGCTTTTTCTTTTTTGGTAACATTTTAATTTGTGGGACGTTTGTCTCTGACTACATTTTAAAAAATAAAAAGCTGGCTGTTGTAAATTCAGTCTGGGTCTCAGTTTGTCAGATCTCACACAAACATCAAGTGTCACATTCTTGACTATTTTTGTATTGTTAATTTTTATCTTAATATTTTGTATTCCCAAAAATACTTCTTAGGAATATGCTTAAGACAAAACTTAAGAACTCATATTCTTAAAAATCTTTGTAAATAATTGTATATAATTTAAAATAACTTCCAAGTCTTCAAAGATGTTTAAGTTTGAGTTCATTACACTAGCTACATAAAGTACATAATACAACATAATTACTTTTTTATAATCAAACAAGAAAATCAGACATCTAAACCTGGGAAGAAATTCAATATTTGAGACCTTAAGAAATACTTCTCAATACTTGCACTTCATGAACTTATAATTAATCTTAGGAACTTTAATTTTTTCTTAACATTCTTAAACATTACTCAACTGCTCTTTTCCTGTTTTCTCCTTTAAGAAAAAGCTATTTCTGAAATACTCAAAAAATTAAGTTAAGTTTTTTTAAAAATCATTGTAAATAAAGTCACCAAGTAGTTGTTTATTAAAAGGTTACAGGTTCGTAACCATAACCTTTATAAGATGCATCAATGAAGAAATGCCTTTCAAATTCTTAGTTCTGTACGTAATAGAAACAAAAACACTTTTTGTGCACCATGAGAGTATTTTTATTGTAATGCAATGTGTTACAGTAATAAGAAACATGTCTGGTTGAACTGACTGAGGTAGACATTTACCTGAACATACCGTGGAAATAAATTAAGCACTGTTAGAATTGTTTGGATACAATCAGTGGTTGATTACTAAATGAATTAAATTCGAACTACAAGCTCATTCTTGTTAAACAGATTTTTTCTCATTTATCACATTGATCAAAATCCCAGAGCAATAACGTTTTATAAAGAATCAGCTCTTGCCATCATGAAAATAAACTGGGAAACCAGAAAAATGTGCTCATTACAAGACAAATTACTGAATAACAAACCATACATCAATGGAAAGCTTATTTATTCAGCTTTCAGCTGATGCATACATCTCAATTTCGAAAAATTGACCCTTATGACTGGTTTTGTGCTCCAGGGTTGCATGTGTAACTGTTTGTTTTAGAGTCACACGTCATACCTTCGCTGTCAAAAGGGATTGAAGCCTTGAATTGTAACTTTTTTTTTTCTTCAGGATCAAATCAATGTAATATTTTTTTGATTATTATTTAGAATTTTCATGACATCAATGGAAAGATTATTTATTCAGCTTTCAGCTGATGCATACATCTCAATTTCGAAAAATTGACCCTTATGACTGGTTTTGTGCTCCAGGGTTGCATGTGTAACTGTTTGTTTTAGAGTCACACGTCATACCTTCGCTGTCAAAAGGGATTGAAGCCTTGAATTGTAACTTTGTTTTTTCTTCAGGAAAATCAATGTAATATTTTTTTGATTATTATTTAGAATTTTCATGGGATTTTATGATACTATGCATTATTTATACAACTTTTATGAGCTATTTTTTGCCACGGCCATTTTTGACCGCAAAGGTACCAAGTGATACTTTTTTTTATTTTAATGACCCTTTAACACATCTGAATCATGTATATGATGACGCCATGATGTTTTTGTGTTCACATAGCTAATGCGACAAAACAAAAGTCACCAAGTGTCATTCTATTCCGATGAAGCGTAAAAATGTACAAAATTTACTTTTAATGACTTTTTAGACTTTTAATGATGTGATGGTAAATGACACTTTATAAAACGGATAGTTCCGGTGCTTGATTCTGATTGGCTGAGCCGCGTTCGAAGCTGTTGTAAATGACTCTACAAAGTAACACACACCTTTGTTTACGTTTGTGTGTTGCTCGGCAACCACTTTGTTGCAACCACAACTGTTTCTGAGGAGCTACATTGTTTGGTGGAAGAATACTGTTTTTATTAATATCATTACACTTTATTTGCTCTGTTTTATTTTGTGAAACCTTACTACGTATAATAACCGTTTTATAAAAGCAATAAGCCCCGTGAAGCCATGGTTTACAGTGAATTTACCTAACAACGCCCCTTCGCTGTTATAAATTCATTGTAAACCACGGCTTCACGGGACTTATTGCTTTAGTTTAACATGATTGAAGCGCATAAAAGAATGTTTTATGTGAATGTGTGAATTTTTAATGTAAATGTTTCATGATACAGTGAGGTCAAAAGCATCCCTTGTTACAGAATCACTTCATGGCCCATTGTTTGACATGAACATGAGGCACTGATGCACTAAAAGCAATGCAGTGAAAAAAAACTCAACCTTTTATTTTTGTCCATAAAGTGTTCTCACACGATGGTTCCCCAGCTGTGTATCATTGCACTGCTCATCAGTCAGCGCAGGCGCGGATGGGATTGTTCCCGATGATCCCGAGCTCGTAGAGGATGGACAGCGTGGCGAACAGCACGTAACACACCAGAGACACCAGACCCAGCTTCCAGTCCAGCTTCCAGCCGTTGATGTGAACGGACACGAAGAGGAAGACGATGGAGAGCAGCAGCGTGCAGGACATGAAGACCAGGCCGCTGCTGTTGACCTCCACTGGAGACCCAGAGTCCACAAACACCGTCTTGATGAACCACGGCAGACCCAGACACAGCATGTCGAAGACGTTTGAGCCCACGATGTTGGACATGGCCATGTCAGCTTTACCTGCGAGAGACGAGTCACTGATCAACCGCACGCTCTGCGCTGTGTGCCGTTTGGACGTGTGAGGGTTTCTTTACCTTCGCGAGCCACCATCACGCTGGCCACGGTGTCCGGGATGCTGGTTCCCGCCGCCAGGAGCGTCATTCCCATCACTGTGTCCGGGATTCCCAGCGTCTCGCCTGAACACAGACAGCAGATCCTGCTAAGATGGCTAAAAGATTCCCTTTAATATCAGACATAACTGAGTTCAGTACATATATGTGACCCTGGAGCACAAAACCAGTCATAAGGGTCAATTTATTGAAATTGAGATTTATGCATCAGCTGAAAGCTGAATAAATAATCTTTCCATTGATGTATGGTTTGTTAGGATAGGACAATATTTGGCTGAGATACAACTATTTGAAAATCTGGAATCTGAGGGAGCAAAAAAATCTAAATATTGAGAAAATCATCTTTAAAGTTGTCCAAATGAAGTTCTTAGCAATGCATATTACTAATCAAAAATTAAGTTTTGATATATTTACAGTAGGACATTTACTAAATATCTTCATGGAACATGATCTTAATCTCCTAATGATTTTTGGCATAAAAGAAAAATCTATAATTTTGACCCATACAATGTATTGTTGGCTATTGCTACAAATATACCCCAGCGACTTAACACTGCTTTTGTGCTGCAGGGTCACATATTTATCTGGAGTCATTAAAGGGACAGTTCACCCAAAAATTTAAATTCTGTCATAATATACTCTCATTCCAAACCTGAGTCTCTTTCTTCTGTTGAGCACAAAAGAAGATATTTTGATGAATGTTGGTAAGCAAACAGTTGACGGTAGCCACTGACTAAATTCTAAATCAGCTATAAGCAGCTTTACAAAAAAGATAAAAGTTTATTCATTCTTTATTAATGCAATAAAATACTATATTATTTGTTGTAACTACTTTAAAGTCACCCGAACGTCCCTTATTTACTTATTTTTATTAATAGAGTTATGTATTATTTATCTATTATTATATTATTGCTACTACTATGTATTTGTTTTTAATTGTACTGTTCTTGTTTTTCGCTGGTTATCAAATTGGAGGAATTGGTTAGAGGCATTTGATGTAACTAAAATTAAATAGCTGGAATATGAAAAACTAACGTGAGAATGTAAGATTGTACTGAATTTTTGCAATGTTGAGGTTAAAAATAAAATAAAAAAAATTGCATGTGTTAAATTTGCATGCTAAACCAAATGAGACGTTATTGAGAGAGAACGGAAGCCAAACTTTGAAATGCAGATATAAAGCTAAAAATATCTTTTTTAATGTTTTTGACAGAATGTGACAAAATTGTGAAATATTATTACAAATTAAAACAGCTGTTTTCTATGTGAATCTCTGTTAAACTGTAATGTATTTCTGTGATGCGCAGCTGTATTTTCAGCATCATTACTCCAGTCTTCAGTGTCACATGATCTTCAGAAATCATTCTAATATGCTGATTTGCTGCTTAATAATATAAAAACTGATACATTACCACTAAAAAGTTCATCAAGGATGCATTAAATTGATAAAAAGTAACAGTAAAGACATTTATAATGTTACAAAAGATTTCTATTTCAAATAAATGCTGTTCTTCTGAACTTTCTATTCATCTGTGAATCCTGAAAAATAAAATGTATCACAGTTTCCACAAAAATATTGTGCAGCACGACTGTTTTCAACATTGATGATAATCAGAAATGTTTCTCGAGCAGCAAATCAGCATATTAGAATGATTTCTGAAGATCATGT